TTGGGAAACAACGGTTTAAACAGGTCTTTCTGAAGCCAGGGCGAAGGCAGTGATATGATTGAAACGTCCCACCTTCTATCCACTTCAGGATGGCTATATAACATGCCACAGCTGCAGTTGCCAAAGGGACGACTCGTTGCCAGCAACAAAGGTGTGGCAACTGAAGGACCAGCGCTGGTGCTTCGTGAGGATGTTGCACGGGTGGAGTCCTTGAAAATAGATTTTTCTGAACACCAAAAGAAAGCACCTTGCTGGAGGACATGCCCAGGAACAAAAAGCTAGTAACAAGGACGCTATTAGGTTGGAAGCCATCGCTACTAGGAGCTATTCCTTTTTGATCCATAAGCTCGCCTCTTGGGGAACCTGAGGTGTTTAAATATGTATAGGTTCACGATCGTACCGGTTCCGTTGCATCTCTTTGTTGAAATACATGTTGACACTCAAACTACAGTATGTTGTCATACAACGGGGTGCTCCAGGATTTACATATATATCTATTGGGAGGACAGTCAATGTGCTTGCAAACAATTTGGGACATGCGTATAGTGTGCCAACATATGCAAATATGTGTTGCTGGACATTGCATGCAGACTTCTGATTAAACCCCGAGTTCGGCTTCACAGGCAGTCCTTGGATGGTAGTGGGTCTGCTTGCGAAAGCTCTGGGCTGGGATACAGCAATCTTCGAGCTCGCGCCAAACGTTCCCGGTCCACGCTTGGGTCGGGCTTTCGTCCTGCAACACACGTCCCGATCCGCCTCGTGGGACTCAAAAGTGTCGCCATCCCGGACTCAAAATTGATAAAACATGATAAAACCATAAAGAGAGGGAAGAAATAATCTTAAGAAGAGAAGCACCCCTTTAAAGAGGCTCTTCCCATTGTTTTATCTTTTTTGTCTTTTTGTTTCGATGCTTAGAGGCTGAATGAAAGCTCTATGAGTTTCAAGGTGGACAGGTTTCTCTGCATCAGTCTTTTGTTAATTGTGTTGCGTTCCTGGCTTCGACGGTGGTGATGCAGTGCCGCTATATCTGCACAAAGCATCCTGGTTGCCACTGATGAAATTGCAAATTGCTTCCAAGGCATCTGAAGGTAAAGCTTCCTACCAGCCAGTGCGATCCAGGATCCTTTACCAAGCGCAAAGCTGGTGAAACCCTTCGACCATCCTCAGAATCCGAGGAATGCCACACACTCAGATTCTTACGGACAGTGTGAACCAATAGCCCGGCACCATACAATCCATGTCACAGTCTTGCTTCTTTGTGCCTCTCCAAGTGGCAAACATCAGCTCCTTCACAGTGGAGGCAGTGACTACGTTTTGGGTGTCGTCCAAACGCTTGCCTAAGGCATTTCATGGCATTTCAACTTCCACACAAATTCGCGCAATCCAGCCCCTCAAGTCTTGTAGCCTGAGGCACAGGCTAGTAAAGGCAGACTGTAAGGGGGTCAGCTCCTGCGGAGTGGAAAGCTGTTATAGAAGCGCCTCCTTAAAGGTAATCTTTGAAAGCACAATACATCGAACGCAATGTCAAGCGTATCGAGTGTCCTCAGAACGGCTGTTGACAGCCTTAGGTCAGACAAGTAGGTCTGAGCTTCATATCTTCAAACATCGCATGCCTGAGCAAGTGACGTCTGCGAGAAACCTTTGCAGCTGCTCTGTGGCAAGCGGCCGATGCCTCAGAGTGCACCAAATTCTGGCGCACCACAGGGCGCAAGCAAGTCCAGAAAATGCCATTTTGAGTTCACAAACCAAGCCGGGCAAAATACGTCCAAACATCCCAATATGGCGCGCGCGAAGGAACAATTCTTTCTTCGCTGCGTGCAGCGAAGAGGCCCTGCTGGATACTTGGGATAAGGTGGCATAGCCTGTCGCAAGATGCGGTTGTGATGGTGATCTCTGGTCTCTGCTCTGATTGATGGAGCAATGCAAATTGGCTGCCACCGGGCTGCAGGGAAGGGAGTCGTCATCAATGATGATGCAACCACTGGGTACAGGAACCTCTCGCTTGACAAGCACAATCTTGAGCATGAAGCTTCAACAAAATTAAACACCAACATCAGCCAACATCTCTGCCAGTTCCGACTCCGACAAGCCTCACCCTATCACGGTTGTTCTCGATGTATCTTGTGCAAACCGCTCGGGGGTTGGTTGGCTCCTACGGCTCTTGTAGGTCAATTGGGAAATGTTGTAGGTTGAAGCATGAACCGATGATTGGTGTATTTGTTTAGCATATTGTGGATGACATGCAGAACCACTTGACATGTAAAGCAAGCTTCACACGTCAATGCCGAGCACTTCTGCCTGGAGGCATCTTGCGAATGAGAAGACCAGCTGAAACAGTCAGTGCTCATTAAGAGCAAACGGGGGGAAGGATGTATTGTGCTCAACCGATCTGAAAACCAAGCTGCAGGTTTTAAGCGAGGGAATTAGTCAGGCCAAAGAACAACGTCGCATCCTTTTTTCTGTTGCGTTTGTGCAGGTCATTTCAAACAACACCTTGCCACTAAGTCACTATTGGATTTGTCTTGTTCATAGCTTCGTTCTTCACTGAACCGAAATGGCAACGCATCAACAAGCGCAAAAGCCTGAACTAATTGCTGCATGCATGCCTGCCCTGAATGCATCCTAGACCAACAAACCTACAAAGAGGAGATTTGGACAGCTGCAAAGCCAGGTTTCTGTAAACATCTGCATCCGGAAAAGCAGCAAAAATGCTTGCAGCGATTCCCTGTGCTCTGCCAGTATACACACCTGGGCATCCAGCATAACGCCAACCATATGTTCAACACGTCGCAGCATAATTTAAATGTCACTTCGGCACAATTGCATTGATGCACTATGAAGTCCTCCGTCGCTTGCAGAAGGTCCCCGCTTTTCCATGCGATTCCACCAAGCGCAGGCCTTGGAATGCGCTTTCGTCTGAACAAATGCCACTGGCCAATGGCATGTCCACTGCTCCTGTCTACACTGCAATTTTCAACATGGACAAGGATGAAGGTGAAGCTTCATAGGACACGAAGACTGACACGAAGCACAAGAGACTCCAAGAAATAGAGCTGGCCTGGTTGGACACCATCATTGACTTTTGAAGTTTGACTTTAGCTTCCAAGGTTCCGAAGATGTTCAGCCTTTCGTGCTCCCCAGCGTCGGCCACCTCTGGTGGTCACCTGCACTGTGACTTGGCATCGGCAGAATGTCTGCATCTTCTGCGTTGAACAGGCGCGCTCTTTGGTCTTCGCTTTGCACTCCAATATAAACTATATATATATATAACTTGGTGCCAAAACAGCCTGGCTCTTCCAAAATGCCAAACATAACACACTTTTTGTTGGCTCTCATGCCCAAACTAATTAAAGGAGTCGTCTATATACCTTGAAAGCCTGGGCCTGGTCCTTCTTCTGATCACGCATGGACATCAGCATCTTGACTGCAGGTCGATCCTGCAGCAACACACTCCGTGGACCTTTGAAATCCTTTGGGCCATTGGACCTCGGTCTTGTATGCAAGATCCGCAATTTAGGTTAGTAGCGATGCACTTGTTTCTAATAGCTTCTTGTTACTACTAGTAAGGCACTTGTTACTAGTAGCGATGCACTTGTTCCCCCAAAATTGTGTGCTTCGTTTTCTCAAAGTTTGCTCCATAAAGCACTCTCAAATCTCCCAACCATACAGGCTTGGCCTGCGCTCGCATTGCTGCCTGCAGGTCTCCCCCATACGGCAGGTCACCTTCTCCAATAAAGGCCTGTCTATGCTCGGCATGGGCAGTCGAAGGCACCGAAGCGTTTTAAGGCTAGGAAAAAACGCCTGAAGATAAGAACTCTACATCGCCAAAGGCCTATGTGACGTGATCCATCCGTCATTGTGAGGGTTGCCATGAAATGGTTGATATGATGCAAGTTGAAACATCTGGAACCACAATCAGATTTGAAGAATGGCACGTCAAAAGAGTGCCTGTACAACCGCCAGCCTGCTCACTTGGGGCACTTGAGGCACCTCAGTTGCAAGCATGTCAAGCATCTGCTCCCAATGCGCTTTAACATCCTTCAGAACCATGTAACAGCTTTTCAGCATTTTCAGTGCTCAGCGCAGTACTTTCCCTCTCTGAACGCCGCCACCTCTCTCTTCCTGTGTCCTCCATTGCCTGGGTCCAACAAACATCTTTCAATGCCTGAAGCACAAGTGCCCGCCAACTCATTCTGAACTCGACCTCTTTCTACACCAAGGCACCTCCAAAGTGCAGGGTGTAACCGCAGAATCGACTGCGTCGTTTAGCAGCTTTGCTGACGCCTCTGCTTCTGATGGATCTGGCCAGGTTTCTTGGATTAGTGCGATCGCCTCCCGTAGCTTGGCTACTGCCGCTGGGATCGCCACTTCATCTACAAGGAAGCAAGGCAAAATCTGATCCTTGCTGACGAGCATGGAGAAGCAAAAGGAAAAAAGCATGATATTCAAAACAATTATATAATTAAACACAATCGGCTATTACAAAAGGCTATTACGAAAGGCAACAATATGATACAATATGCACTTTTTTCAAAACACTTAAACTCCTAGAATCAGGTGCTGCAAAGGTTCACTGGTTGGAAAAAACCCAGGTGCAGCAGTTTCTTCCGGGCAATCGCCCGGACACGCTGTCAAAGTCTGGGCCGCGGCTGTCTCGACGACCATGGCCCTGCAAACGAGTAGGCCAGAACTTACTAGAAGATCTGCAGTGAAAGGCCAGCGAAATGCCGTTGGATATTTCCGACAACCCTTTGTGAACAATATATAATATATAGACATAACAAGGTGGCAGTCCTGACCGTGATGGCGAGTAAGCTGCCGGCCAGGCAATGCCAGGCAAGCAAAAGTGGCGCTGGCTCCGTATGAGAAGTCCTGCCACTCAGCAAAAACCGAGCAGCGATCTAGCAAATACAACTGACAGTTTTATTCATGAAGCACCTGGACCTGGGCATGGTATGCAGCAAGTGCCTATGAGACGGATTGATGCCAATTGAACCAGTTCAAACGGCCTCTTTCGCCATTTTGTAGTCTGGGCATGTGTAAATGCCACGGCCAAAGGCTGCACCATGCTTTTTCTTCACACCATTCGCTTCGGTGGGATCTGCTTTTGGCACCCTCAGGTTGCTCTCCTGAACACAGGCACGGCATTCAGCATTCTTTCACTTACGAACTCTCATGCCAAACGATTCATGTGCAAACGACCCTGGCAAAGACCCGCCGCGTGCATGCGCGCACGCCTATCTTTCTTTCTTTGTTTTTTTTTCTCTCTCTCTCTCTCTCTTTTCAGGCATTCTGGGCTGGTTGATGATGGTTGATGCCAAGCTGCCACAATACTCTGGAAATTTTCTTCTGCTGTCCAGTGAAATGTCCTTGCCAGCTTTGTGCAAGGGATGCACTTTGGTACGAAGACCTGCTGTTGTTTTCCAGTGTATGGGAGTGATAGTCTAGCCAAAAAGGATTGAACAATGAAGCCCAAACTGAGCAAGAGTGCCAAACGGTTGCAATAGCCAGCCGTGGACGGTCGCTTTGTGACTCTTTCGACAAAGGAACACCTGTGGACTGGCCAGCTTGGGGCCCAAATCTCTCAAGAAGCGATTGTACCGTTGCAGGAAGGCCAATGCATTGTCGAAGCCTGAGGCCGGCGGAAACACATAGGTATAGCATGCGTATGAACTGCTCTGCAAGATTTGTCAGCAATACCCTCCACAAGTGTCACACAAATGCCATCTAAACAGAAAGCACACCTGGGCTTACCTGCTGCGCTTCCAAGAAACTTACCACTTTTCCGTCACAAGGGACACCCTTTGGTGCTTTCACCTCCTCCGCCTCCCGCAGCAAGGCCACCAGGCGCAGGGTACGCTCCATGATGGCCTCGCTTCAGCGGTCCGCCTTTGGAACGTCGTCGTGAGAAAGACTGCGTTCTTCGCTTTAGCTGAGTGACATGATCTTTCCAAAGAAGCTATCCAGTGTCAAAACAAGGTGTGAAGGAGAAAACAAAGGTGTCAGACAGGAACGTGGGACACATTGGGGCATATATGGGCATATGCTGCCCCTCTCAAACTCATCGACCACATGTGAAGTGACGAGCCTTCGGGCAGCCTACCTGGGGCGCCACCTCCTCTTCCTCCTCTTCCACGTGGGTTGGGACATCCCCATGGAATTGCGAGGGTCGCGGCCTGTCGTTTCCGAAGCATGCTACAAGAAGATCCCCGGCCCACTACCCACTATCCCCTTGGGTCCCTCAACCTCTGGCTAATTGAAGTGGTACCCAAGGTACAATGAATTGCCAGGTACAATTTAGCCAGAAAGTTTTGGGCCCAACCCCAGGTGTTGCATACAGGGACCCATGGCTAAACGACCATGGACCCAACGTCTCTGTTGGCTAAAAATTTTAGCCACCAACAGCTAAATCAATAGGTACCCAACCAAAATTGACACGTAGCAAACTGTCTGGTTGGCATCCTTCAGACCCTTCAGCCAGCAGGGGCTCAAGCCCACTGGATCCTAGCCAGGCTAGTGGACGGGGGATCAAGAAGAGTGTGCTCAAAAAGACCTGTAGCCCTCGCCTTTCCCGTCCCGAGTCGGTACTACAAACGCAGCATAACACAGCATAACACCTTCTTAAGGTCTTGGGCGTGCAATGCCTCCCCAAACCTCTGCCCCGCTATCATGGATGAGAGATTAATCCGCCACCGGGAAAAAAAACGTCCAGTTCTTGAAGTCCGCTGATTCTCAGCGGACAAGGCCTGCGAGGTGGCTTCGCTCCGCCCTCGCGCTGTGTCACTGAGAGTGCAAGCGGACCACGCAAGTCAACACCGTGTGAGAAAGCGCGGCCATTGCGGCGCATCAGAAACACTTGGGGTTCGCTTGCGAGCAAATGAAATGACAAGAGGTCAGTCAAAACTTTTGACATACGTCCTGAAGTGTAGATTTCCCACGATCTCTTTTGCGTGCTGCTCGGAGTGTCCCTACTAGGTGCTGCAATTTGTAGCTAGAAATGCCTACTAGCAAGCAGCGTCGCTTTCGTGCATTTCTCTTTGATCTCATGGCCTGAAGGCTTTCTTTGCCAAGCCTTCATAAACATCAACAACCGACAAAAACCGACACTACCAACGTGTCTGAACCTGCACAGCTGAGTGAAAGCAATCTTGCAGCAATTGGCAGTGGTTTCAGTTCACTCACCATCGCCTCTTGAACCTGCAAGTGCCACCGCAGATCTGCCACCAAGGTCTCAATGCAAGGAAGGAAAGCACACTCCAATTTTTGCCGTGGTTGCTGGCACAGGACTGGGACCTCAAGGTTTCTTCCACCCTGGGCGATGTTCCACTGGCAAGAAAGCTTTACAAATGCTTAAGACATGTTCACCTCCACACGACCGACAAGCATGGTTGCTCGATATGTGGCTATGTGGCTCTATACTACAATGCTGTCACTTTGGACAGGTTGCTTACTTTTCTGTCAGAATATGGACGGGCGTCCAGTCTGCTGGCACCCCTTCGCCCAACAAGGTCTCCACACGCCGTAGTAGCATCTTGCTGGGCACATCATCAGGGAGCCGTTGCCGATAGTGGTGCAATGCGCTAGCACAGGCATCGAAGCTCTTCAACCGATAGAGGCGATGAATCTGAGAATAAGCATCAATAAAGAATTGCAAATCTTCTGGTGAGTCAAATGCTTCTGGCAAAACAGCCTTCTCGCAAACCAGCTGGTAAAGCTCAGTGGGTTGCGTGCGTCCCTTGACGATCACCAAATCCAGGAGCCGCAACTGAAAACGAGATTGCACCCCTGGTGCGAAGGCAGCATCTTGTTCAATTATGATGCTAACACCGTAGTACTTACAAAGGCCCTCCAAACGCGAGGCCAAGTTCACGCTGTCACCAACCAAACCATATTTCATCCTTTGAGAGCTGCCAATGTTTCCAGCAAGCACGTTGCCTTTGACCAAACCCATGCGAACCCTCACATCAGGCAATCTTTGCAAGTGCCACGTCTCGCGAAGCTCCGCTAAGCGGTTTTGTTGTGCCAAAGCTGCATCTAATGCTGTAGCTGTATGTTCTTGCCCTAGGTTGATGGGAACGTTCCACCATGCCATGATGGCATCTCCGATAAACTCCCCCACCACCCCACGCTTTGCCATGATGATCTTGCTCATTTCATCTAAATATTCAGTCAACATTGACATGAATGTTTCCGGCTCCAGGCTTTCTGCTATTGTTGTGAAGTTGGCAATGTCACTGAAAAAAAACAGTGACCTCTGCTTTCCCCATGCCAAGCTGAGCCTGACGTCGACTTTTCACCAAAATTCGCATGATTTCTGGATCCATGTATCTGGCAAAGGACTTCAGGCCAGCCACCATATAAATAAATGCCTCTCGAATATTGATCACTTCCTTGGGAGTAGCATGGGTCCAGCACCCTCCACCTTCCTCCACGTAAAGGGAACAGTCAGCTTCATCCTGGCTATCAGTGTCACTTCCGCTACTACTGGAGCTGCTGCTGCCAGGCTCAGTGTCCTCCCTTTTGACGCTACCCGTCAAGGTGGACATCAGCCGCCCGACATATCTCAAGCTCACGAAGCTGGTGGAACTCCTGCGGCGCAAGGATTTGCCTGCTCCGATCTCTGCCTTTAAGGGATCCTGAGGCAGAAACTCGAGCTTCGCCATTGACAGCATTTCAGTGGAAATCCGTTTCAGCGGCCGTGTCACCGCCAGGCCAATACAAATCATGATCAAAGCACCCAGGAATGTAAATGTGACACAGGTCCAAATGGTATTCACCTCAGTTCTTGCACATCAGTGAAACCAACCAAACCAACAGGTGAACAGGAGGAATCACCTGTAATTACAAGCCTCGAATGAACCATTGCCTCAACTTCAAGGATAACAACATGGAAAAACAAAATTGAATCATACTGCAAAGAAGCCTATAAAATCCTATAAAACCATACGGCAGGAGTGTTTTCACGGGCCCTCCTAGTCTCGGCATTGTGCGTTAGAATGTCCTGCTACAAGGAGACCTCAAGACATCCTACAGTGTCCTGCATGTAGGTCACCACGGTCACCACCGTATTCCGGTCGATTCCCACCGGAATCCGAACCGCTGCTCGATCGCTCCGAGATCGCGCCGCTCGATCGCTCCGAGAACTGGGCACCTCTTGGGCTGCAAGATCGGTGCGGAGCTCCTGACGCACCTGGGCACTGCGCTGCTCAGCCCAGGCCTGTTGCTCCCAGGACTTCTCCATGAAGGCTTTCACCGGGCAGGTGACCACCACCAACCAGTGCTGCTTAGCCTCCGTCATCAGTCGCATATGCTGAAAATTGAAAAATGAATTTGCACAGCCACCCCGGCTATACCGGCCATACATGTCCATGTCTACGGCAGTGATTCAAGCTGCAAGTCAAAACAAAATGCCGCAGGCCAAAACAGCACCTTCACCTCATCTCCACTTATGTTCAAGCACGCTATAGATTAGAAGCTCTCAACCCGACTTGGGTCAAGAGCAGCATCTGCCATCCGCGTTCTGAACTGCCGGTGCCACTGAAACAAGTGTGGTCATTGAAGTCAGCCTAACCTGCCTGAAAGCTTCCAGGGAGGCCCTGCGTGAAGGTGAACAAGAACTTTCCGTCGGTCGTGTTGATGGTTCCATTTCGAGGCAGTCTGTCAAGGGAACCATATATGCCCAGCAAGGTTCCTAAGAGTGGAGAGTCCAAAACATGGAAGTTCTGGAGTCCAATATATAAAGGAATTGAATGCAAGTTCTGGATTCCAACTATATAACCTAAAGCGCACTCCCTCTAGTTGGCAATAGTTGGCACATGTTGGCAGCTGCAAGTCCAAAGCTGAAACCGAACAAAGGTGACTGGAAAGGCCAGGCTTCGTAGCGGAGCTTGCACTTCGCTAGCATCAACTTGCTTCCAAGAAAATCTGACCTGCGCTTCCAGGCCCTGATCAACAATCTTTTTTTGCTACTTGGCCAATCCCTGATGAACTTGCCACCATCAACCCGGTTTTGAAGTCGATGATGAAGCCTTCCAGTGTTGAGTGAGTCACCCTACTCACCTACTATACTTCAATTTGCGCATCTTTAAACCCTTGCGCGTTGAGGGGGGCCTTGCTTGAACAGTGCTTTTGACCACCAAGCCTTCTTCTTGTGAAATCATCCTAGTTACCAACTTCAAGAAGCCACTGAAGTATGAAATTGTAAAGTCAGCCGCAACAACTGCCACCACTTCGTTGTTCGAAGTGATGGCTTTGGCTGCTGTCATGCCCAAGGTGTGGCCGCTACTGTGACTGTAAATGTCTAGCCACACCAACTCGCCCTTGGCTTCCTTTGCAGCTTCGTACCAAGGCCGCTTTCGGGGGTCATACCCATGCGTTTTGTAGGCTTTGATGAACTGGCCCTTGTGATTCACAAAGTAGTAGGTCTTCTCCCCTTCTTTCACGGCGTCCGCAGGCGGGCACAAGTCACACATCTGCATTCCGGCGGTTCCATCCGGTGCACGAAACTCTCCTCCGAAAACAGTGGGGTCACCATGGGTCTCATTAAGAAAGCTCAAAGGAAGGCGCTCATAGCCCAGGAAGGTGCCAAAGCGATCACCATAATAGATGTAGTCCACTTCTGGAAATAACTGTGTCAATTCCATCCAACATCTGTGCAGAATCCAGTTGAGCTCTTCTGACTTGCTGAGAAAGGGGGACAGGGACTGAACCTGGCTGATTGAAGCATCTTCCGAAGCTAGCAGCTAGCATTCATGAAACAAATCAGCAAAACAAACATACCATGACTTTGTGGTGGTGACACCCGATTAAAGTCTCCCTCTCAAAATGTCACCTGTCGAACAAGGATTGTTTTACAGGAGGTCTCTTAATCAGGTGTCAGCACTCCAGCCAAAATACGTAATCTGAGTTGATATCTGCTACAAGTGCAGGCTTGCCAGTGTATCGTGAAACGCTTTCCATAGCTGACAAAGCCGTAGACGCTTGCAGCTGATGTGCAAAATGGGTCAGAATGTCCTCGGGAACACAAACACACTCCCTAGCAATAGCGCCCCCCTCAGAGGGCAGATTCTGGCATACGCTTCTGAAGTGCTACTGATTTTGAAGGTTTCTCTTGAATCTGGTCACATCTCATGTCTGAGCGATGCAAGGATTTGTGAAAACTGAGGAACACATAGGAAAACTTTTGCCAGGCATCTGTGGTTGAATTGTTGAAATTCTCGAAAATCGTCGTATCAGCTTCTTCTTGCCGGGCCAGGCCCTCATCAAAGCTGTGTTTCCAAAAGAGATTCACAGTCAATGCCAACAAAACAGTTGTCAGAATGACCGGGCCAACCAAAAAGCACCAGAGTCGCGGATGCCAGAAAGAGCTGTTGTCAGCCCATGTCTTCAAGCGACGGCCATACCGAAAAACTGCTTCTTGCCCCTCCGCAATTTGCGAATGCATTGACAATTGCAAGCCCAGTCGCCAAGCCAAAACGCTGCAAACGCGCAAAAGATTAAACGGATTATATTAAAAGCAATGCAGGTCCTGGTCCATGGTGGCTATCTGATGAGGCCGGCACTAGGAATCACTAGGAAGGGGGTTCCACCAGGCAGTCCTGCTGCAACTATTCAGTTCAAAAGGGTGAAAAATACGCCACTGACGAAGGGGTCCTCAGCGAAAACCCGAGTTTGAGAGAATTCACTATGACTTTTTTGATTCTCCGGTGGAATGGTGCGCGCTCCACACGTGAGCTAAACATTCGCGCAACGTAAACATTACAGTAGCTCTTGTTGCAATCGTTTTGTGAATTGTATTCAGCAAGTTTCAGGCCTGTTCTTTTGGCGTTGCGCTCAACAAGGATGAAGAAAGCAACCCCACGGTGTAGTTCAACGTCTATATATAGCTTCTTTAAGTTTGTAGAAGGTGAGTTGGGACACTAGGCAACTGGAAGGAATTACCTGGCTTTTGTTGTAATTATAATTGTTCCTGCATTGCTTCTTCAGTTGGTGCTTGTTCTTTTGGGAGGAATGGATTGTAAACAGTCCCTGCACAATTTGAGCACGCTGAATTGTAGTGGGCCGTAGAAAAACACTTGATTATATAATCAAACCTGAGAAGGGAGGGGACGAAAGCCAGCCTCTGGGTTAGGGGGTGCCCTCAGGGCAAGCCTGGGCAAAGACTTGGCGTGCAAGAGGAAGTGATTGGGTAACATCGGGCAAACAAAGAGTACTTTCATGGGGTGAAGTTGACATCGCAGCCACACTGATAGGGTGTAGAAATAGAAAGTAGAATACATAGGTTTGGGGGGGGCTCACACAACTCTGCTTTTAATGTATTTTCAATTTTTCATTGAATCATGGTGTCTTCTCTTTTGGGAGAAAAGCATGGTAGACTGGCCTTACAACACCCGGGCACAATACATTGTAGCGATAGGTCACTTTAAAAAACGAGTTACTTTGCCAGTGACGTGATAGAAACAACAATATATACCGTATATATATATATAAAGACTATATAATATAGACATATATTATATAGACTAAACACAAAACATGAGTCCATTGGACAAAGAACAGGTGGTAACACCCCATATGCAAAACAAGAGGCAACTCCTGAAAACGAGGGGGCGCTTAACATTTGCCCTCAGAAGCACACGCTTTTTTTTCGGACTATTCTTCCCCAGATCGTTCTCGGCGACGCCGCTTCTGCATACCCTGCTTGGAATGTGTCTCAGAAATGTGTGGATCCACCTCAGCCACATCTGAAGGTCAGGATTTTGACTAGCTGTGTTATCCTTTTCTCGCCTTGCCTTCTCAGGTGCCAGTAGCAAGCATCGATTTTTGCAGTCCACCAAGATGTTCAACGCAGCCAAGGCCTGAACGCACCAAACAACTAGTCTTCGAACATCAATCAAGCCGGACCAAAGCTCAGTCAGGCTGCATCATGCCCCAGCAAGGCTTCTTCTTCATCACCCTCCGCAGTAGAAGTTGATTCGTCACTGTCCTGGAAACGAATCCCAGCCTTTCAACGCGTGAACTTAAAACGAAGGACATCGACGACGGATAGTCGGAAGATGTCGGAAGTTGCAAACCTATCAAGCCCTGATCCACGATGAAACATCCAGGCCAAACAAGTTGTTTAGTTGTGGAAAGTAATAGGTATACAAAGTTGTTTAGTTGTGGAACTTCAACCCTAATCACCCTCCACAAATGTTGTCGCCAAAATGCACCTCCTCCTCTTCTTCGTCGGAATCAGTTTCATCATCTTCAGCGAGCGAGGGACTTAACCGCACGGGTGCTCTTCCTTGTGAGTGCATGTGTTCTGAGTGATCGGCCACTTTTGTCTGCCAAGAGCTGTCTGAATCGTACGCAGAAAAGGGAGCTTCTGTCTGCTACAATGTGCTGCAATAGGAATGCTCACAAGGGACGAATCTTGTTCATGTATACATATGTATACTACTTTGTGCCGGCTATCGCAAGAGCCCTTGACGCCTTGCCAGTCTGCCAAGTTTCTCTCTCCGAGCTGCGCAGTCGCCCAGTAAATTGGTGCAGAAGTTGTTACACCACCAGCCGTTTCGAACAACGCTGGGATTTCCTCAAAGCAGTACAAGCTTATGCTTGTTTGGTTTACCGAGAGTTTACCCACAAAAGTTCCCGAGGCCGCGGCCCCTTACCCCAGGCTGCCGGATAAGTCGGTAGGCGTGTATGACATGTTGCCAGGAAATAACATCAAAGGGAGTCAGCCATGTGCCCATGAAAGAAAGCGTGATAAACTGCTAGAGGGTCGAATGGATCTCGAATTTGTTGCAGCAATGTCTCAGACTCATCCACGACCAAATCCAATGCATTGATCTTAGATTGCTGCAAATCCTAAGGTCGAAAAACATGAGGTATGACACCTTTTGAGTCATCAAACGGCTTCGACCTGACATCACCTTCAAACTACTTCAGCACCAAAAACTGCAAACTATCGATCTTGCCTCATGTGCAGTCTGAGGATCAACATCTGTAGACCCACTGTCCACAAGAGCTTTCACTGAAATCTCCTGTGGCGATGCATGAGCTTCCTTCCTTGAAGGTGACCGCTTTGCAGAAAGGTTCATAGAGCGGCCTTTGTCTGTACAAGCCGTTACGTTTTCGCAAGGGCAGTCCCCGCCTTTTTGGTCATAGGGTTGGAGAACCGCACATTTACCTCACGAGCAGTGCTCCGCCAAAGCGACCACGCGTGAAAAGAAAAACCATGCAAACTATGAACTCAGGGGTCGTTCATGGCGTCAATTTGGTCAACGGTCCAGAATAAAAACAAAGCCTCCCCACTCCGTCCGACGGGACACGTGAATGCAATGACTCCGTCCGACGCGAGGGCTGGCACCCACCCTTTGCATCTTGGGCAACCTTTGGAGCTGAGAACGGTGGATGTGAGATGATGATATTGACAAAAATTGACAACGTGGTGCCCGATGACTGTCCAAACAATGTGCAATGATGTTTTCCTCTTGTGGTGCAATTCTATGCTCAACATTTCGCTATGGCTATGTGAGATTCCTATCACTGTGCGGCGCAGAAATCTTCAGCTCCGCACCCGTCATCGGTCAACAAGCGGCGGTGCTTGCAATCAACGATAAGCCCAAGGGATGCGAGAGCATCTGCTCCAATCCTTAGTGGCAAGTACGAGTACAGCAATTCTTGCAAAACCCACCAGGTGTCATGTGGCTTAACCACCAAACTTGTCTTAAGCTCTATGACACAGCGCACATCCGAGCATCACAGCTTCATCGGTTGTAGTACTCAAACCAAACTCTTTGTCCACGTCATCCTCCTAGGTTCTGAGCTGTCCCCAAGGTTTTCTCTCGGTCAAGTGTATTCCCCATTTTTGCCTACAGCGAGCGAATCAAACAAATAGTCATTATATATATATATAATAATATATCCCGTAAACCGTTCAGTTTCACAAAACATATGTTATGAGTCACATGATGTCACACGCAGTCACTGACAACAGCTTCTGAGTATCTTGCAGCTGCATCGGACACTGCGCCTAGAGTGTGCTCGTAATGTTTGGTTTAACATCTCAAACTGGGCCACGATAGATTTCTATAGATTTATGTTCTTTGCCACTACGAGTGCTTCAAGTAGAGCTTTGACATGTTGGCGGTAAAGTGCCAAACATCAAGCGCCTCCAATTGCAGCATAGTCCTCATCTGCCGGGCTTACTTCCACAATGGCTTCCCTCCCGAGGACTTTGAGCTTGGCCTGGGAGTGAGATGGAGTGAGCCGGGAAAGCATCTGACTCCTGAGCTCAGATGCTTGAGATTATTAAGGGAAAAACATATACAGTAAATCACAAACTGTTGCAATTGGGTGTGGAGGCAAACGTTCCCGTCGCCTATCGCGTGCCGCGCCTGGAAGATGGATATCTCCACCTTTGCCCCAAACAAACACAGGCAGGGAGAAGCCAAGGGCCAAGGGGTGTTCTGGGTTTCTGCGTCAAACCAATCCAGTTTCTTCTCTGCGCCAGGTGTCCACTCGATTGGCGGCCGTCTCAACCGAAGTGCCGCCTCGTCGAGCGATGGGTAATCTCAGCTTTTCCTCAACTTCTCAGCTCTTTCGAGGCGTTCGGCAAGTCGTTTTGGGAACTGTATTAGACTATTAGACCTTTCTTCATCTTTCTTCCTTTTCTATCTTCTTTCTTTCTAATCTCTCTACCAGCGATGGCCTCCAACCAAAATAGCAATGGCCTCCAACCTAGAAGCGCAAGTCATGAAGCCAAGGGTCGATCAATGAGCCCTTCAAATCACAATCGTTGGATCCAGTATCCACCAACGCCAGAACCTTCACGCAGCGCGTGGTATCCTTTGGGCTGCAAAACCTTGGACCGGAGTAGTCAAAGGATCGAGGGCTACAAGGAAAACCCCAAAATGGATGCAAAAGGTCACTGGTGGTCTTCAAGTCGTGAAAGTAATGAGCATTCTGCTTCCTTGGGAGGCACTATATAGTCATTAGATGTCACTATAGTGACTTTAAGCAATATTTGGGTGTGCTCTTCATTGTTGGCACCTCGACCTGCACACCAAGTTGAGTGTAGGTTGGCAGTCGACCTTTTGCTCGACTATCTTGAGCTATTTTTTTCTCCATAACAGTGTAACTTTCTACTTTGGATCACCTGCTAAACATGGCGGCTTTGACCCGCGCCCCAAAATCGTACGTAGCTTGCATTCATCTTCCGGGATTCCTAACTCTACCCGACTCTACCCCGTTTATATGGATTCCCATCACAGTCTCATGGTCAGCCGAAAAGCTCCACCTCGACGTAAGTCAAGGCATCCAAAGCCTTCTCTATAGGCAACACCTCAATCTTCTCCGGCACCTCCAGAAGAGATAGAAAGTGCGCGGAAAACCATGCTGAAGCTCGTACGTCTCGGCGTCTCCCTCCTAACCGCCTGGCTTGTCACGGGACGAGTTCATATTCTTTTTGCCTTTGAATTCAGTGGGGTCCTTCTTTACATGGTGTGGCTCACAATCAGCAACGCAGCAACATCGGTTTCGATAGGTGCGTGTGCCACCAGCCTGTTGGGCTCCAGTTTAAATTCGATTTGAACCAATTGAAGTCCCTGTATACAAACACCCAGTGCGGGACTTCACGCTCTAGTGTGCTGCAGACTGGTATTTGCGCCCCGGTCACTTTGGAAGCTTGGAGCCAGGGGTTGTAGCACTGCCTGGCTGCAGCTTTGATCTGCTTGCCACATCGAGTTTAACAGTTCAGGACATTTCAGGACTCTTGACTATTGATGATGTTCATGTTCTGACGCATTCTGACGTTCCATTATCTAACTCTCGATGTATCGTGGCAAACACAAAGATCTGATGCTTGCACCCGAAGAATCTACAGTGCTCGCGTCCTTTCACCACTGTACATGTGCAGGCTAAGACCCGTAAAGTCTTAGAGCGCCTCCAGCTGTACATCCTCGCAATCTGAGGTGGCCATCTTTGCGCTGCTTCCCATGAAGACGAGGTAGAGTGCACCAGACACGACCAAAGAGAACAAACACGAGCCTCCGGAGTACAAGTGTGCCCAAAATGGTCCGACGATATTTGGCTGGGCTGCACCATGGACTGCCAATGCATTGATGAAACCAGGAACACAAGGAGCCACTCCACCCAAGACCGCCAACATTGCCCTCCAATTCACACCAGTAGGCGAGTACAGCTCTTGTACTTCAAGGCAACGTTGTCTGAGAATCCAGTAGTCAGCAATAAACACTCCAGCAATGGCACCTGTCAACATAGCATAGCCTGACAAAAAGTTGAGGACAAATGACACTCTTCCTGAAAAGGTCCACCAAGGACACACAAGTAGGGACAAGAACAACACCGTGAAGCCGCAGCCACGATAGGTCAACCTTTCAGGTGCCAAGTTCATCAAGTCGTTGATGGGTGAGATGATGTTTGCCAAAATGTTGACAAGGAGGTTGGATGCGGCCAATAGAAATCCTGCAAGCAAGCTGAACTCCGTGTTCCAAAAGGCAAAGCATTGAGGAATTTGCCACACAGCCTTGCCATATGCCACGGAAGTGGCCCCAGCGAGCCACATACCAATGAAAAGGGTCACAACGAACGGAATCGGGATCCCAGCAGCTTGTCCAAGAACCTGGTCTTTCTGGGTGGGTGAAAATCGGCTCAAGTCGCACACATTGAGCATCAGAGTTGACCACGATCCAACACTGGAGTTGATGGCAGCCATGAAAGCCACCCCCTTCGAGCCAATGGTCAATGGAGTTTCTTCCTCGGCTGCGCTTAAAGCCTCATGCAAGGAAGAAAGGCTTGCAGCCCAAGCTGCGATCCCTGCCATGCCTAGGAGAACTACTGGCAGAACAATGTTGATGCACTTCTTCAGCCGAGTAGGCCCAAGTTGAATCAATATACCATGAGCGACTAGATAAAGAAGGAAAATCACCAACTGAGCAAGATTCAAATGGCTTCCAAGTGGGTATGACTCCAGCCAGCGCTCACCAACAACCTTTCCAAGTCCAGTGTAGATGCCCAAAGCTCCCAGCCAGCACTGGAAGGACAGCCACATGATCGCGACAGCACCACGCGAGAGCGTGCAAAAGTGTGCACCGGCACTTCCAAAGGAGCTTCTAGCAAACACAGGAAAAGGAATGCCATACTTGACACCTGCTGCTGCATTGAGAACTGATCCTGCCACCAACAGCACCGCACCGATCGCCGATGCCACCAGTGTCTCTGGCACAGACAGCCCCAAGCTCAGCAGTGCTGCACCGCTGGAAAAGGTCGCTGCATTGATCATCATGGAGGCCCAAGCTCCGGCAAAAACGATCCATGTCCATGTCCTGGCACGGCCTTCAGGTGTCGGTTGCAAATCTTCCACACCCTCCATTGGTGGTGGCTTTTCCACCAAGGTCTCACCTAACATTTCAAAGGCCTCTCTCAAACTTTGGGCCGAGCGCATTCAGTTCAGGCTCAGTTCAGGTGTATTTGTCTCTAGCATGCGCACCAACATCAAGAACAGACAGATTGGAAAGACCTACCTTTCAAATCTAATCTTTGGTGATCTGATCCAAAGATGTCACCCTGCCGCCCTAAATCTGAGACGTCCATCATCTCAGCATTCTCAGCTTTCCTGCCTTGAGGTGGTTTTCTTGTCTCAAGGCCATCAGCCGTGCCCGGAAGCCGCTCTGGCGGCTCACCTGGAGGCCTTTGGCGGCGGCCACGGCCTCGTTGGGCTGCCGTTTCAGCTCGGCCACCCGCCAGGGCTTCAGGTGCCGCGTCTCCACCGCGTCGTCGTGGCGCTGGAGCAACGAGCTCACGCAGCTCGAGGAGCTGAAGAAACCGTGGCCACAAATGGAGGAGCGACTGGGGGAGATCAACAAATAGGTCATCCAAGCTGGATCTCCTTGGGCAACGAGATGTACAAGATAAAGCACTGAAGTCAAGTCTGACTTTTTTGGCCCAGGTTCCATTCCAGTCAAATGCGTCAGGGTGACCTCAGAATGGTATCATTTTATCTGAGAGGGGCTTTAACACACGCGCACAAAATGACGAAAAGAATGGACCCACCATCACCCACACTTCTTCTATTATATTACCATATGGCATAATATGCTACCCCTCTCTTTCAACCCAGGAGTCCCGAAACACGCTTGTTTCCTAGGCAACAGCTGCCTCGACCAACTGCATGACCACCTCTCCCTTGAGCTGAGGCAAAGCAAGGGCCTGTGGGACAGTACAGTTGCCTGGTACCCTGTTCAAAGGAAGTTTAGTGTGCAAAACTTCCGTGTTACGGACATTCAACAGCTGTTCAACCACCACTCATCATACACCACTCATCATACACCACTCATCACACACCACTCATCATACACCACTCATCACACACCACTCATCATACACCACTCACCACACACCACTGATCACACACCACTCATCATACACCACTCATCATACACTACTCATCATACACCACTCATCATACACCGCTCATACACCAGCTCTGGTTTCAACAGCTCAAGCTCCAGGCAACTCCAGCTCCAGGTGCAGATTGCGTGGCAGGTGCAGCACTTTGTGAACCTCCATGTGCAGATTTCGTGGCAGGCACAGGACTTTGCGAACCTCCATGTGCAGATTTCGTGGCAGGTGCAGCACTTTGTGAACCTCCATGTGCAGATTTCGTGGCAGGCACCGCACTTTGTGCACCTCCATGTGCAGATTTCGTGGCAGGCGCAATACAAAATGCGTTGTGGAGAGATAGCGAACGCACGAAATGCTGTATTTTTCAATGGAACTGGTGGCTCCGAAGCTGGCAAGTCAAGGTTTGCGGAACGACGGGTGCGAGACGGTCTCGGGTCATGCTCGGATCATTCTCGGGCATGGTCGGAATCGTCCCTCCATTGGGATTAGACGGATGATGAATCCAAGCGTCCCATGCGTGGGCCTGCGAAGAAACAATTCAAACTCAAATATCGGCTGAAACAGAACGTGATCCGGAACGCTTCGCCTTGCCTCACGAAGACTCGGCTGAAACAGAAAGGGTATTATATTCCCAAATTGAAACGCAGGCTTTTGCCTGAAGAAGCCGCAAGGTTGCAGGGTGTGCCTCAGCAAGTTTACGAGGCCATGGCCAAAGTTGCACAAGAAAAGAAACTGGCTGCGAACGCTTTGGAAGGAAGCTTAGGCGATGCCATGAGCATTCCTGTCTTGACTGCGGTACTATACACTGGACTGAAAGCAGCTGGATATTCTGTAACGACTTGGCCTTCAGCAACAAGAGCGGACGGCGCCCAAGCCGGCTTTCACATGGATAAGGTATTTCAGGAAACCGGATGACATATGTCACTCGGCAGTAACAATTCTTAAGTTAATACTCACATCAGAATTATCACTATAATAGGCAAAGTTGACTTAAACTAAGCAACCGTTAAACGTCGCGGTGCTCTCCCGGGTCTGGCCTGGGCTGGGACTGGGGAAGGACTAGGGTAAAAGTCGCGAACGTCGTCAACGGACCCGGGAGAGGGGAGTGGGGAAATCCCACTCCCCTCTCCCGCTTCTAGCCTGGGCTGGGACTGGGGAAGGACTAGGGAAGAACACGCGTGCGTTGCAGTGACTAGTGGCCCCCCATTCTCTTTCACCAAAGTCCGTGCTCCTCTCCCGACTCTGGCGTGGGCTCCCGTCTCCCGGGTCAATGCTGAGACGTCAATGGGTAAGGGAGGGGCTGTGAACACGCCGTCACCTTCAGGTCGCGTAGAAGAACCAGGTGCGGCTGAACATGTCGTCGTGGAAAAAATGACGACGCCATTGGCTTGAATCACTTGGCTTGACTTGGTTTGCAGCGGGTGACTTATTATTGATTCACTTCCGCAGCCGTTTCATTTGTCAAGTCAAGCCTCTTCTAGCTGTTGACAATGGCGGAACCAGAGATGGAATTGAAGAATATCGGAAGCTGGCTTTTGAACAAGACTGAGAACCAAGAACTGCAAGACAGAGTTGGCAAAGGAGAAGAGGAGCACTTGGTGAAGACTTGGTGAAGAAAGAGATCCAGACACGCAAGAACGAAAGCTAGCTGCCACGGCAATTGCTGACAAAGCTGTGCCCAAGGCTAAGGCCCAGGCCAAGTCTGCACCGACTCCGGCGGCTGCGACTGCCCCTGACCCAACCAACTCGGCGTATTACGGCGAGGTTGAGGCTGACATTGCATCGGTGCTCAAAGAGTTCCCAGCCATTGAGTCAGAGCCACCCCTGGCTCTCTCTCAGACGGTAAGAAAAGCGGTGCGCAAGAGCCGTACCATGTAGAGAAAGGACAACAGGCATCAGAGCTCAACGGTGTTTACCGTGCCTCTGGCAACCTGTTTTGGGTACAGCTCTTGACGTCTCCAACACCAGGAATTCCAATGAGCCGGAGACGGGTGCTCGATATGGCAGAGTATTACTTTCCGAAAGGCTCGCCAGCCCACATGACTGGCCGGATGGTCGAGCTGTCAGTGGATAGAAATGCTCTAAACACGCGTCCAGAAAACCTCCAGATGTGTTCGCCAGAAGAATTAGTTCACAGCACGCTTGCGGCCTGTGCTACAATGATTCGGTCACAACCTTAGCCCAGTTTCCACAAAAAAATCATTCCCATACTGATGTGATCATTTGCCCCGAGGCAGAAGGATGACGTCGAGCGTCTGTCTGGGAAGCTGCGCGGGCCAAATGGCGAGCTGTGCTGCTCAGTGTCCTGATGTCCTTCATTGACCATGGGCCGGACAGAGACAAGTCTATGTGCAGTGGGTGGAAGCTTGGAATCGGAGGCACGCTGTCCAGCAAGAACACGAAAGCTTGTCGCGGACTGCCATGCAAAGGGCCCTGGAGATTGATCAGCTACGTGTTCCAATGTGCGCCAATGGACCAAAACATGGACAAAGACCATGCCCGGATATCGCCTGGTATCCTTGACGGAAACAGCAGACGATGTCGTGGAGGTGTGGGAGGCAACGACACAAGATGAGATGACTGAGAACGACCCACCGGCGACCCTGAAGCGACCGGCTGCCCAGAAGCGCACAGGCTTTAAGCTCAAGCGACCGGCTGCGGCCATGAAGAAAGCGGTCAAGGCTCCTGTGAAAGCGGCCAAGGCCAAGACCAAGACGACAAAGGCCGCCCAATGAATGAGCTACAGCCGGCGTCGCCCAAGAGTCTGAGAGCTTGCGGTTTCTCAGATTGACAGTTTTTCAACTTGTGGAAGCAACCTGCAAGACAAGTTTCGCGCCTGTGTGTCAAAAAGGGCAGCATTTGCTGAAGACATGTTCAGAAACATGGAATACATGTTCGAATACATGTTCAGAAACATGCGTGGAACTTTCGTAAAAACAAAGACCACAGTAGCCATAGAAAAACCAGTAAAAACAAACAAACACGGCGATACCAGTAGCATCAAGCAACAACACAAAAGCCGCAAGTACAACAACATCAATGAAAAAAAGAACAAGGGCTACTACAGCAACAAGCACCGACAACGATAAAAAACGACAAAGAATACAACCACGACAAATGACAGCACCAACACACACCACCACAACAACCACAACAACAACTACGACTATGCAACTACAACTACAACTACACACATACAACAACAATGTAACTGACAAACAACCAAAGACAACCAAAATGCAACCACGCAACTGCTAAACAACGCCAAGAAAAGTCCGGAGCGCATGCGTTTGGCTCAGTGAGGGACACGAGGGACACGCATGGTGGAGAGAACGTGGACACTCCTATAGGTTAATTTCTTCTTATAGGAAACTTCCGCCGCCGGCTTGCCCGGGAACTACTTGTACAAGAGTCTTGAAGTGTTTGACACATAAACAATCATAAACATACATAAGCGCGGTTGGGCCTGTGGTCGTTGCCATGCGGGCCGAGCGTCGGCGACAACAGAAGAACCACATGCCTCACAGCTGATGCGCACATGAGGGAACGGTCAAAAGAGTCAAAACATGTCTCCTGCGGAAAGGAGAGCCCCGCGGAAGGCTGCAGCCATTCTTTGGAAACATTGGGCCACAGGAGCAAGGTGGCAAGGCCTAAATTAGCAACTAAGTCTCTAAGTCATTATCTTCAATGATGCCAATGTCCGTGCCACTTGAAGGCAAAGCCAAGCACATCCCACCAAGCGTCGAGGGGACATATATTCACTATTTCATACTAGTTCGCTATACTTGGTCCCGCCACTGACTGAGTCGGGGTCCGTTATGGGATGCTGTGTTGAGCCGATACGCAGAGAAACAAACGAGCTTCGCTAACAAAGGTGGTGGCTCAATACAGCGGCAACCACAGGATAGTGGAAAGTAGGACCTTTCCTTCCGGAGTCTCTCTATGCGGGTTTCTAACTATGTAGATATTCGCTATCTACAGCACTTGGGTGTTTGCTTGGCAAACGACACAGTGAGACAAAAAAAGTCAACGTTAAAATCTGCAGGATGTCTGACACCGATCAAAGTCCAACAACTCAACACTGTACCAGTCCCAACTTTTATATTTACTTGCTCTTGACACCCAACATCATCTTGTCAGGGGCTGCGGGTCTGAAGAAAGGAACGGTGAGTGTCGACAACCTGACCCACATGACTTTTACGAGTGCTGCACAGCATCCGGTGCGGCCGTTGAGAGCCTATCGGTCCAGCCAATTCCGACCACCTGGCAGCTCTTTCATGTGCTTGGCCCATTGTTGCATAGTACCGCCAGCAAACCCTGGAGGTGGTAAACTTTTGGTTTGCTGAGTTTCTCCGCTCTCGCTTGGCTCAGTCTGGGAGGTTGCAAGTGTTGCAAGTCTTTCAAATGCCATGGCATCAAGAACTCTCTTGTCTCGTTCCTCCTTGGTCTTGACGCCGTTGTAGTTGTGACCTCTGAAGAGCCATTTTGGTGTACTTGGCCGCTCCACCGCATTCTTGCACCCCCGCGGCGGAGGTTGCCCTGCGTAGAGGTCCTTCAAGGCCTTCTGCCGCCCCTCATGCAACTGATGTCCCACCTGGTGCTTGTCGTCAAAGCGGATTCTGACACCCAAAGGTTCAGACCCAAATATGTCAAAGTCTGCTTCAGGATGGGTGCTCCTGAGTGCCCTTCCACTCATATCATTCAAACTAGTAAGTAACTACTACTGCTACTGTAACTACTATATTTCGATATATTTCGTAGGTCCTTAGGTCCCGGATTTGCTGGTAGCTAGCTACAAACGAACGTTTGAGAATGGCGCTGCCCTTAGGTTTGAGCAGATCAGTTGAATCCCATTGTCATCCCCTGTCACGTTATGTCCTCCTTCGACGTCAATCGAAATAATTCGACCTTTTTGATCCCACCTGATTCCACAAATCCTTTTCGATGGTCCTGGAGAGCTCGGTGTTTTGGGGTTCACACATCGCCATGTTGACGACACAGCGTTCGCGAACACGTTCTCCAATTGGATCCGCGCTGTGGACAACTCGAGGGCTGGAGTCCAGCTGAAGAATTTGAGCCAAGACTGGGCGTACACAGTACACAGTAGTGCTATGCATTGACGTTGATTGATGAAATTGTGACTCTCTGTGTCACAGCCGGGCTTGGATCAACACTCTAGATGAACTGCACATGTCAATTCCAGCTGCCAAAACGAAGCTGCTGACCGAAGTAGAAGCGGACAATGAGCTCATTGACATCCTTTTGCTTTGGCCAGCCCAGCCATGAGCATGACTCCCTAAATGCTTGGCTAAAACCTGTCGCAACTATAATAACTATCCAAGCCTGACATTATTATAGTTAAACTCCCCGAATGAAGGAAGCCATGCGTCCTCCGCCTCTCCTGTCTCCCTCCCCTCGACCACATTGAACATAGAATGTGAAGACTTCGCCAGTTTATACCAGTCTCCCTCTCTCTCACTCTCTCACTCACGCTCTATCAGCTCTATCAGCTCTGATACAGTAGTCTAAAATGACCTGTGGATGTGCTTGGGCTGCCCGACTTTTCTACAAGGGCCGTTGAGCGTTGGCCCTCGTTGATTGACATTTCATGAATAGAATACAACAGCGCCGTGTGCGCTGCATCAATCCTCGTGCTAAATCACCCCTCAATGTAGTGGCCAAGCTTTATGAGCACCTAGCAAATGCATTTCATCTGCCAAGAGTGGCCCAAATCTCAAAGAATGTGGACATAGCATCAAACAACTAAACAACTGGCATTGGTATTGCAATTCCTCACTTTGGAGGCTTTGGCATCACGACTCACTATGACTCACTTCTGAGTGAGTATGTGAACGGGAGCCCAGTCTGCTGGCACCCCTTCGCCCAACAAGGTCTCCACACGCCGTAGTAGCATCTTGCTGGGCACATCATCAGGGAACTGTCGCCAATAGTGGTGCAAAGCGCTAGCACAGGCATCGAAGCTCTTCAACCGATAGAGGCGATGAATCTGAGAATAAGCATCAATAAAGAATTGCAAATCTTCTGGTGAGTCAAATGTTTCTGGCAAAACAGCCTTCTCGCAAACCAGCTGGTAAAGCTCAGTGGGTTGCGTGCGTCCCTTGACGATCACCAAATCCAGGAGCCGCAACTGAAAACGAGATTGCACCCCTGGTGCGAAGGCAGCATCTTGTTCAATTATGATGCTAACACCGTAGTACTTACAAAGGCCCTCCAAACGCGAGGCCAAGTTCACGCTGTCACCAACCAAACCATATTTCATCCTTTGAGAGCTGCCAATGTTTCCAGCAAGCACGTTGCCTTTGACCAAACCCATGCGAACCCTCACATCAGGCAATCTTTGCAAGTGCCACGTTTCTCGAAGCTCCACCAAGCGGTTTTGCTGCGCCAAAGCTGCATCTAACGCCATAGCTGTGTGTTCTTGCCCCAGGTCAATGGGGACGTTCCACCAAGCCATTATGGCATCTCCAATAAACTCCCCCACTACCCCTTGCTTGCTCATAATGAGCTTGCTCATTTCATCCAAGTATTCTGTCAACATTGACATGAACACTTCTGGCTCCAGGCTTTCTGCCATTGTGGTAAAGTTTGCAATGTCACTGAAGAATATTGTGACCTCTGCTTTCCCCATTCCCAGCTGTGCCTGACGCCTGCTCTTCACCACCATGCGCATGATATCTGGGTCCAAATATCTTGCGAATGACTTCAACCCTGTCACCATGTAAATGAAGGACTCACGCATATCAACCACTTCTTTGGGGGTTGATAAGCGGAAGCAAGCTGAAAGTTCTTCCCCAGTCTCGAAATCTTGCTCTCTCTCTGTGTGATCGTGCCTGGTCTCCTCATATTGCGACCTCTCATCTTGACTGGTGTCACTACTGCTGCTGGGGTCCGTCGGGTTTGTTCGAGTCAATCCAATACTATCTTCAGTCCTCTGGCTCCTTCGGCTACTAAACCTCGTCCTCGTCCTGGATCTGCTTCTGGAGGTCAAATTCGACAGTGCTCGGGTGATTCCCCTGATGCTGAAGTACCGATGTGAGTGGCCTTTGAGTTCACAATCGTCATCGTCCATATCGGCCTGGCCCGAGAGAAATTCCAGCTTTGCCATTTGAAGCATGTCCGTGGAGATCCTCTTGAGTGGCCGAGTGACTGCGAAGCCAACGAGGGCCATCACAACACCACCCGCGATACAAAACAGCAAAGAAATCCAAATGGTTTTCACCTGCCGCTGGTCCAAATTCTTTCTGGCAGCCTCGTGAATCTCCATGCTTCTTCTTGTCGCCCATGCCTGCTGTGCCCAAGAGGCTTTCATGTAGCCACCCACTGGGCAGGTGATGACAACAAGCCATCCATGCTGGGCCTGAGGGTGTCAATAGCCCAATCACAACAACAATATTTGAGATGTGGCGCAGGTTCGAACAACAGCCGGCTATATAACTATATATAGATATAGATATAGATATACCTATAGAATAAATATCTATAATATAAATATATACACGCACAAATATGCACATGCATGTTCAATGATCCAGCATGTGTGTGCGCGTGAAAATGCAGGCAACCTCTCATGCCTCCAGTCCCATTCATCTATACAAGCTAAACAAAAAAGGAACAGCTAACTCCACCTCAAAGCGTCACTAGCTAGGAGGGCGAGGGCAGCAGTAGTGGAATCAGAATCGATGAGCAATTGGAGCAGGCAAGGCTTAGGACTTGGGATTTCAGGATGGGAATGGGTGAGGACGGGTGGAGATGCGTGATGGGCATGGATGGAGGATAAGCCTGGGGTAAGGCTCGAGGAGGATGACAAATTAGGAGGATGCATGAAGATAAGGACGGGATCATCAAGTTCTGTGTTGTATATGTTGCATAGCCCAAGTGGTCTTGGGATGCAAGGGCATCGAACCAAACATTCCAAAAGAGCTCCGATGCCCATGCCCCCCGGGTCCAAAGACTGCTTGGGTGTGATGCAAAAAGACTTCCCCAAAAGTGCTCCTAGTAGCGATGCCAGGAGCCCCTAGTAGCTTCGTGTTCCTAGCAGCGATGCCCTTGCTCCTAGTAGCGTCCTTGCTCCTAGTAGTAAGGCAGGAGACCCTAGTAGCGTCCTTGCTACTAGTAAGTCAGGATAGAATAGGATGGATCAAAAGGATGAGGATGAGGACGATGAAAGCGAGGTTGTTGTTGTGCTGCTGCTGGCGCTGTTGTCGGTCGTCTGGATTGTTGTGATGGCGGTGTCTTGTCTTGTTCCTAACAGTGCAGCTGCATCCCTAAACACTAACACCCTCAAAATTATGATAATCACCGCTTGAACATCACAAATCACAATGAAACTGAAGCTGGAGGTCACTCATTTCAAAGGAAGAAAGCTCAAGCCCAGGCTACAGCACCTTTGATGAAAAAACATGCAACATGCAATTAGCAAATGATCATCACTTCAAATTATGTGTTGTTTGCATCCTCTCCTCTTTTGTCGTCTTCATTCAAACACCTTCGTGCCTGAAAGCTTTTGTCTAATCCACCAGTGAAGGTGAACAGCAAGCGGCCATCTGCGGTCTTGAGAGTGCTACCCTTTTTGGGCACATTTCGGAGTGACACATACTTCTCCAATAATGTTCCTTAATCTTGGTCAGGTGCAGTGATGACCAATTTAAAGCAAAAAAAGCGCTACTGCTGCGGGTCTGGGGCTATGCTCTTTGGGAATGGACGTGGAAACACCTCCAAAACGACAAAGGACTCAAATCGCATTGCCAAGGCTCTCATAGGTGCTTGCACCAACTTAAAAGGATCTGGCACTTGGTTCCAATGATACCTCACCAACCCTCCAGTGTCATTTGTGTGAACTGGCCTTGCCACATGACTCATGCCCATGGAACTGGCAACCATCAAGCCAGATCCGACATCCACAATAAAACCCTCTTCGTATTCAAACGAGGAGGTGATCTTCTGCATAAATGCACTCAGTAGGTTCACGGTGAAATCACCAGCAGCTACCCCCAGCACCTGGGAGCCGAGCATGATTGCTCTTTGTGCTGACGTTCCCATGGAGTTCCCACTGCTGTGATTGTAGATGTCCATCCATGTCATTGCGCCTTTGGCAGCTGCAGCCTTTCTGTACCATGGGCGCTGTCGGGGATCGTAGTCATGCCTGAAACAGGGTCGGCAACAGCAGCTGACTTGGCTCTTCACATTCAATATATGTTGTGGGGCTCCTCCTCAGTCCTTTATCATTGATCATTGATTAGCCACAAGCGGTCAAGGAAACACAAAGTAAAAACACAATGCCCTGCTGGCAGCAGTCTGCGCCTTTCATATGCTTCACCGTATTTGCCTTCATGGTCGACAAAGTAGTAGGTCTTCTGCCCAGGCCTTAATTCTGCCACTGGAGGGCAATATGCACAAACTGGCAGCGGGGCCCTGTCGGACGCGCGGAACTCCGCTCCGAAGACGTACTTACCGGTCACATTGCGCTTCGCGAGAAAATCCTTCGGCAAGCGCTCGTAGCCCACATACAAGCCACTCGCATCGGCATAGAACACACAGCCAACATCTGGAAACAACTGGGTCGTTTGCTTCCACAAAGTCTTCAGGACGGTGTCAACTCGCTCTGACTCCAGCTGGGGCAAAGAAGCAAAGTCTTCAACATTTAGGTCAACGACCACCTCTGGCAAGTTCGTGTAAACGGCGATGCGCTTGACCGCTTCTTGGGCGGAGGTGTGCTGCAGCTGGTTGACCAAATCAGTAACGATCTCCTGACACAAGACTAGTGTGTATAGCACTTGGCATAGCGGCAAAGCATTATATGGGGTCAGACTTTCACATCCTCTGCTCAAGCTTTATGAATGGTTCTATATAGTTATTAGATAAAATCCATGAGCTGAATCTAAGGAACCATTATGAACCATTACAGTAATCTGTGCAAAGAGTCCAGGGAGGACTTGTTGAATTTCTCCAGCACGGTCGTTGCAGCAATTTCTAACCGATGAAGGCCCCGGTCGAGGCTGCTCCACCACAAGGCGTTCACGGAGCAGGTCAGCAGCACAGTGATCAGAATCACCGGGCAAACTAAAATGCACCAAAGCCTGTTGGGGAAGATGATGGAAAATGGTCACCAAATGTCACCAACAACGCCGCAAAGAAAAGAAACAGTCCAGAAACAAAGCCTCCCAAAAAGCCCAACAACAAAGCAAATGCCCCCCCAAATGGTCCAGCAAAGCTCTTCCGCACCGCACGCTCCCCGAAAGCCTTGGGTGATTCCAGGTCTTAACCTTGCGGTGCTCTTCCGCACGCTCATGCCGAAAGACCGCCTCCTGCCCATCAGCAATTTTCGTGGTGCGAACGCCCAGGTCCATCGCAGTGGTACACACTGAGCCAAAACGGCTTAGTGCGGAACTAAAATGTAACATCATGTAATGTGTACAACATCCAGAAAAGTATCACATGGTCTTTGGCAACAGCTTCTGTGAACTTGCGACCTGTCTGAACCTCACCCATGAACACAAGCTGGGAGTCTGCTTTCTCACCAGTAGCGTGACGATGATAACAGCCTGGGCCTCCGTCTTGGAGGCTCGCTGCTGACTGCGGCATCCTGGTGCTGTCTTCATGGCCCACTCTCCAGTACCACACGGCCTGTGCCAACACGAATCCCCAGTTCTCTGAAAAAAAAGCACGATCTCCCGGCCTGTCATGGGTCGAGGGTCTTGCACTGGTATGCAGGTCACTTTACCATCCTCAGCCTCTTCACAAACCAACATGGAGAGATGAGCATCCATGTTTGAAACAGAATCGCAACTGAACAACCAGCAAGTAGGCTGGTAGAAAATGGTAGAAGAAGCTCCGGAGATTCAGCTATTTCTCTTGCAATGCTTGACGGCTTTCCGCGACTGAAGGAAGTCTGTCATGAAAGTGCCCAAAGTTTCCTCATAAACCTCCACGTACTCTTCTATGTGATGCAGGATGGTCCAATTTGTGCGATTGAAAGGTGATCCCGAAGATCCGCGTAAGGGTAGAAAAGTTTGGGGAAACCTCTTGAAAGGCGACTCGTCGCTATCTTTAGGTGTGCCTCCTTTAAGAGCTCTTCTATAGAAGCCGCAGTAGCCTTGTGAGGAGGCTTGAATGTGCATGAAGAAAGGCGATCGAAAAAGCCAAATGAGGGTGTGGGAATGAGCCCGCGGCCCCTCGGCGCTTGCCAAGGAAGACATGCGGCACCTAGATGCTCAGCTCTGCTTTTAGCTTTATCTCAGCTGAACCACTAGAAGGCCCCACCTTCCCCATGTCTGCCAGCACAGGTGGCAGGGCCACCAAGGCACACGCCGTTGTCTCTGAGATGAAGATCTTTGTCATTCGCCTAGAAGGAGTCTAAATTGAGTCTTTACGCTGTACACAAAAGCAAGGAAAGCCAACATGCTCAATGCTGAGGCCCTTGCACTTCCAATGATTCTCCATGCAGCGCCTCTAAAGCGTCAATCATTGCCTCCAGCTTCTCCTGGTGACTTGGGTGGTGAAATTTCGATAACGCAGGATAAAGCCGGAAAGGCAGCCAAGAACAAAACACAAAAGACAGAAAATCCCTCAACACGTTGGCGGTCTCACTGCAAGCATGGAATTGTGTCAGGCCTTGGCTGCCCCTTCGTTTTCATCTGGGAGTGTCAATAGGTCTACCATTGTGTGGGATGCAGTCTCGAAGCCACTAGGCAGAATGCTCTTTTCCATCAAGACTTGCCGGACCTGCAACGATTGTATGGACGGTCAATGGACCTGCCGAAGGAAGAAAACCAAAGAAACTGCCGCCACCAAACAGACCGCCTCAGGGATGTCAAAGCGCCATGTGGCCCTCTTCGCTTGGCGGATTGCCTCGGCTGCCTCCAACGACATGCTCAAGCAACAGGCATGCATGCTGCACACAATTGGCATCTGCATTAATTAGGTGTCAATTCAAAAAAGATCGGTATGTGGTTGAGTGGCTTCTTTTTGCAGACTGCACGGCGGTCAAATACATGAAACGTGTCCCTTTGTGCATGCTTCTACGGTGGAAAGCCAAAACTGGAATGGAGGAGTTCTATGATGTGGTCTGGTCTGATCTTTGTGGTACTTTTGCAAAGCACATCAAAGCACGGAACGCATCATCAAAGGGTCGACATAAGCTTGCCGCCCTGTTTTGATTGGAAATGAGCGAAAGGTTTACGTTTGTTCTTGAAGGTGCCTTTTCGCTGGTGGCGGGCTTTGGGTTCGTATGGAAACACTTCGGTCTGGCTATTGCTTTAGATCCGTCCATCCTCGAATGTACGGTTTGTACAACATCAAGCAGGGTATATAATGTGAGTTCGCACCAAGTGGTGATCCGGGCCAGTGAAGCTGCGCACACACATCCCAAGTGAGAAACATAATTTTCACCGACGTGCTGCAAAGTTGAAGCTTGCGACAACATTCCTCTGGGTGGCTCATGGTGCTGTTATGCCTGCAATTCACTCGCAGGGATTTCAGACCAAATCACGGTGCAGAATTTGAAGCTGTTATACTCCTTACCGTATCATAGCCAACCCCTTCTGTTTTTGATTGTTTTTGGTCCACACACTCCCAAAGTATCGGCATGGGGCATCCATTTCGACTTTGACTAAGAGGAAAGCATTGAAAGTGCACCCCATCACTTTTAAACCATGTCAATCCGGGCACCATGCTGACACGCAAGCTAAAACATAACTAAACAGCTGTTTGAAGTATATATATATGTTATGTGTGTGTGTTTCAAAAATAGTGATATACTAGTTATAGTTATATATATATATTAAATAACTATGCATAGTCAGTATACGGGATATATAGATGTCCTGGACCTGGACAAGCAAGGGCCCACTCCATACCATGACCAGGCTAAATGAAGATCAGGTGATTACTATTTGGGACTCTGACCATGCTAAAACATGCTAAAACGCATCAAAATAAACTTACTGCTTCTGGATAGTAAGGATAGGCATGGAAATAGAATGAAATAGACAACGCACAGTGCACAAAACCATAGAGCAAAGGAGACCATAGGGGTCCTGGAGGGATTGATGACATGCGTGTCCAGCCTCACCAGCAGCCTTTTGCTCTTGAGCAGCTTGTCGGCACTGTTCCAGCCACTCATGTCTCTCTTTGCCATCAGAAGCTTGCAAACGCCAAGCCGCTTGAGCTTTATTGTAGACCTGCCACTCCAATTCCACCTGGCAATGGTGCGGGCCGACTCAACAAAAACAAAGTCATTGCAAACTTGGATCGTCGAATTGTCTGTCGTTGGCTTGTCTCTCTCTCCCTCTCTCGCTCTGTTCGGCACCAGTTTCCAAAGCAGCGTGCCAACATAAAGGGCCACTGTTGTAAAAGCCAATTCTTGTGCTGAACTTCTGAAGTGTAAGTGAGTAGTAATCAAAACCTTTTGGTCGTGGCCTTCTGATCCTACTAAACTAAGGTCCTTTGTTTGCAGGAGTCAAGGTGGAGGAGACCAACTCTTGGACAACGTTGGCCAATGTTCATTTAGAAAACTGGGAAAAGGCGGGTGAAACGGCGGGCAAGTGTTTTTGATCTTGCTCAAAAATGTGGGGTGGGCAGTGAGTGGCCTTCTTCTGAAGAGTTCGCCTAGCCTTACACACTGTCTTCATGTACCCTTGGGACACTCAACCATTTTGAGAGATTTGGTCTCCAACCCTGAGAGATCTTGGCCCTGGCTAGCAAGGCTCCCAGTTTTGCAGCCATAAGTTGCAAGCCAGTGAGTTAACAAATGAACTTCACTAATGCGCCAGGTTCAGGGACCTGTCCATTGGTTTCTCCAAGGCTCGTTCCATGCTGGTGTCTTAGTAATAACTATAGTAGTAAGCGAGCGTAGTCACACAAATGAACACGCAGTAGAGTCGAAACGTGTCTTGAAGTCTCAAGCTTGGGGTGTGGACACATTGCGTTCTTGCTCCTAGCAGTAAGGCCAGGAGCCCCTAGCAGCATCCTTGCTCCTAGTAGTGATGCCCTTTGCTCCTAGTAGTCAGGTCCATGCGCGGTTTTGAGCGGCTCGTCGGCTGGTCCGGTGTACGTGCCTTCAAGGCAAGCGCCCTGGGATCCATCGCCAGCGTCAGCCAGCCAAGCCTTTTCAGCTCCTGCGGACGAGGCGCTCTCCAAACGGTATTTTCACAGAACGACCTGAAAGTGGACCTGAAGGCCACTCCAAACAATTGGTTCCAACTGTTGTCGCTCCTCAACCACAGTCAACGTGTTTTGTACTGGGCTGTCTGCCACATCCAGGGTGAGCTGAGAATCAACATGTTGCAGCTCTTCTGGGCTCAAAGGTTGTGCAGCACAAGCCTCCTGCCACAGGGGTGAAATGCTATTGATGTAGACCGTAGACTCTTGATACCATAAAACATTCCTGTTGCTGCCGACTATAGAAGTTCACTCGTTTTATCCAGAAATTGGTTTTGAAAAATGATTTTCGCACACCAAAGGTCTGCACAAGTAATTTAATCTGAAAAGTGAAACAAAAACAACTTTATCACAATGATAGTTAAAACAACTGGCCAATTTGGCAATTGTGCAAATCCATCCGTGCTAACCATTTTATTTCAGACTCAGTTCAAATGACCCTTAAACTAAATTAGTCAAACGAAATGGGTTTTCTGTGGTCGACCACACTCATTTTGGATAGCCGGTAGCATCCAAATGGATTGTAAAATGGTTGCAGCTCTTCTCGGAATCCAAACTTGCCCAGCAGTCCTTTTGTAGAACATGTGGAAGCTTTGCTGAGGGACGAAGCGCATGGTGCGCAACACCTCGACCCTCAATACGGTCGGTGCACAAAGCAATGTGACTTTTTCCGAAGCGCTTGGAAAATTGACCATCCGCGCCATGGCCAAACACATCCGTACTATGGCGAAAGTCCACCAGCAAAGTCCTGCACACACGAACCGGATCGTGAGGAGTCCTTCTATGGTAAACCTATTCGTTGCACCAGAAAAGTCCTGCAGTCGCGCTTCTTCCACTGCAGCCGTTGCAACACTGCTGTGATGTCTTCGCGTTGGTTTTTCAGGATGTTGGTCCTCAAGTAGCACACTTCTGAAGAGACATACGTGGTGGCACCACTTCAGCCCGTCCTGTCAACGTAAGCGACTCTCATTGCAAGCTTGTCGGGTGTCTCCCCCATCGACCGGTCCTGCATGAAAACCACAGACTGGCAGGAGCAAATGAGTGGACAAATCAAGCCACAAAGCCTGAAGCTCTTCTGCTGCGGGGTCAGAGCCTGCATCTGCATGCTCCGACTCTCTGTCTCCTCTCTCTCTCTCTCTCAGTGGAACCTGTCAATATACTGTATCTGTCTCTGTCTTTCTGTTGGCCT